GTTTTTTAAATATAATAAACAATAAAATAGCAGTTTATTTGTTTGTAAATAAAATCAATAAAATATATCAAAAATTATATATATATATATATATATATATATATATATATATATATATATATATATATATAATTTATGAAATAAAAATAGTTATAAATTATATTTATTTTATAAAATGTTAGATTAGTTGGGTTGTTAATGAGGTTAATGTTGGGATTTAGTTGAAGTGTTAATTGGGTTAATGTTGGGATTTAATTGGGTTGTATAAATAGAAGATAAATAAATTAAATTTTTAATAGACGATTAGGTTGGTTTTAATTGAGAACGAAAATAATGTTATGACCCACTGGTTTAAAACATTAAACCTTTTCTAGTATTAGGGAATCTTGCCGGCAATTGCAGTATAAGGTTAGAGGGAGTGGCATCGACACCCTTCTCAGCAAAAAGTCGCCAACTAATGTTATGCCACTCCTTTAATACTCGCTAGTTGATTCGCTAAGTATGGATCGTCATGGACTCAACGAGAAGTGAGATAAATATTATTAGGTTGTTATTAGTTGTTTACTTTTTAACTACAAAACTATTGGTTGTTTGTTTTTTTTTTTCTTTTTCAAAATAAAACTTATTGAAAATCAAACACTGTCACTCCCTATATTTTTTGTGTTATACATGCTAAGCCTATGTGCCATAAAAAAAACTTAAAAATCTTAGGTAATAATTTACTAAGAGTGTTACCATTCCTTCCAGCCTAACTCTTTGAACCAAAGGGCATGATTGTTTTTATGGAATTTTAATATTCACAATGAATTATATTTTTATTAGGTGTGTTCTTTTTTCTATTATCATAATTACAATTCTAATAATTTTTTATTTTTTATTATCTTAATTACAGTTTTTTTATTTATATCTTTTATAATTTTTAATTGACTTAGTTTTTACCATTTTAGCATTAAGGTTTGCGTTGATTTTACATTTTTATCGTATATATTTGTATGTATTTTATAAATTGGGTTGTTAATTGTTACTATGATTTGAATTATTATATTATATATGCTATTGTATTATGTGTGTGTGTGTGTGTATATATATATATATATATATATATATATATATATATATATATATATACAGTGTTCTAAAAGGCGTGTTATGGCGTGAGGCGTGGCTTCGCTATTACGAAAAGCTTCATAACGTTATTGTTAGGCGTGGCGCGTGACAAGGCGTGATATGGCACGTTATGGCGTGTTATGGTGCGTGTTTTTTCGTTTGAGACACAGTTTTTTACTCTTTGTTATGTCTTTTCAAATTGGAGATACAAGTATTGTGGTTTTTGTTAACTTTTTGTTATTAGTTATTGATCTAACACTTCTAAAAAGTAGTTTTATTTAATATAAATTTATATTTATGTGGTAATATAATTTTAAATTAATACAAAATCGCCGCCTTACATCACGCCTTGAAAAACGTCATGGCTCGTTAAGCTTGAGGCTTGGCCTTGCCGCCACGCCTCATGCCATTTAGAACCTTGTGTGTGTGTGTGTGTGTGTGTGTGTGTATATATATATAAATTGTTTTGTATAAGAGCATATAGATTATGTTTGTAATTGATTTTTTTTGTGGTGAATTTCGTTGATCAATGAGAACAAAGTAAAAATGATTAGATTTATTTTTCACGCGTAATGTTTTACCAAGAGGCGAAAATAAAAACACATCATCATCATCATTGTTGATTGGGAAACCTCAACACCTTTTAAAATGCATACATCGTTACATTTTGTTATCATTTGAAGTATTTTGCTACTCGTTTATATTTTGTAAATTTTTTAGTTTATCCTAAAACAAAATTCTTTTTACTGCCACATATATAACCAAAGTTCCATTAGTTCACACATTCGATTCAATTCGTTAAAATTTCATTCTACGACATGTTCCGTGTCATCTAGTAAGGTTCTCTAGCATTTCAGTCATTTTCAGGCTCGTCCCAGAGGATGGGCGATAGGAATGATCGTTCAGGGCCATCTTTTATAGAGATCCAAAAATTTTACAGACTTTATTAATATAATATTAGACATTATCAATTTTGAAGATATTATTAAGGATTTTGCATCTCAAGAAACTACAAGAATTTTTTATTTTTTTTAAATATATAGGTTTTTATAATCGATGATATTATATTTAGAAGTTAGTATAAGTATTTTTTTTTTCAAGTATTAAGTTAATATAAAAGGAATTGATTAAATTTGTGTATTTTAAGGTTATTTTTTCCTCTTTCGTCATGGACCCAAGATATGTTTGAAACGGCCTTAGTCATTTCATTCATTAATTAATAATTAAACAGTCTTTTGCTAGAGATGTGATTCCTTCTTTAATCAATTGGCTATTTGGGTCCTTTTAACTAGCATAACATTCTTTTATTTTCGTGATAATCCATGAATACTAATTGTGCTTACATACTCGTCAAAAGTACAAGCAATTGGCATTGATACATGTTTCCATAATATATTTAATGATTATCCAAACATATTTAATGGTTATCCAACCTTAACTTAGACATGCAAGTGCGCCAAACTAAGGCTTATAAAGATATCGAATAATTTGCAAATTAAGTTATTAAAATGAAGGTAGTTAGTTGTTACCTTTAATTATTGACTTGAATAAGAAAACCCCTTTAATTTGCCATTGAATCCTCATTGAATTTCATTTACACTCTTTTTACATCAAGAACTAACTCACAAGATTTTCCAAAGTTATGGTGTTTGAAATGACAAAAAAAGGCTTATAATGGTTAAAATGTGATGGTCACCGCTCATATTCATGTGTGCGCCCTCCTAAACCCAAAAACCCAAGTAAAACCCGACTCACATGCTAGCTATATGTTGAGTACAGATGTAATTGATTCTGGAACCGGAATAACCGAAGACCGATTAAGGAGTGAACATGGAACCAAAAACCAAACCAAACACCACTAATTGGTTATGGTTCGGTTCTACTAGAAAGTGTGTTATCTAAGAAGGTGTTCAGTACCGAAACCTGCTCGAATCGGATCGAAACTTAAATAACCGAAAACTGAAAATGATAGATGGAAAGAACTGAGAGCTTGACCAAATACCACTAATCGGTTCGGTTCCAGTTTGGTTTTTCGGTTAAAAAGTTCATCCTAAACATTAAGAGTGGGTTCCACGTCCCTTAATGTGCCTCCTCGCGCCTCATATAGTTACCTTCTTTCATTTATTCTATGTATTTGGACAAACATAACTTTTTCATACGAACTCTGTTTGAGCTTATTCTTTTCTCCTGCTTCTTCCTTGTTGTCTTGGCTATAACATAGAATCAAGATACCATCGATTTGATTCCAAGGGATATTACTCATTTCCTTCTCGAATTCATTAGGCCTTATTGTAGACATATGCAACCCTTATTGTAAACATGCCATTTTTGTTAGGGGTGGCAATTTATGACACGACACGACAAAAATACACGATACGAAACGAAATTGGGACGAAACTAAAATTTGAATTCGTGTTCGTGTTAACTATAAAAAACACGACGTCGTGTCGTGTCGTGTTCGTGTTCGCAATTTGACACGAAATTGATACGATTTAGTAGTTCTTTATCGTGTTTATCGTGTTATATTTGATCAATTATTTATTAAATAAATTAGTTTTTAGTATATGTTATATTTGTCGTGTCGTGCGTGTTTGTCGTTTTTTACTTCGTTCGTTTTCGTGTTAGTTAAAAAAAACATGACATCGTGTCGTGTCGTGTTCGTATTACAAAAAACTTTATCGTGTAGTGTCGTGTCGTGTCAGGCAGAAACACAAAACGATAGCACAATTTGTCACCCCTACTTATTGTAGACCTACCCCTTTTATATAGATATGCGGCATATGCCTACCTTCATTGCTAACAAAACCTTTAATGCAGACATATTCTTACCCTCATTGCAAACACCTCTTACTCGAAATATATATCTACCCACATTGTAGAGATACCTATTACTACAGAGATACCCTTTATTGCATATATACGCCTACACCATATATATATATATATATATATATATATAGAAGCTTAGGTTATATGCATAAAAAAATCGTAACTTTTAGGTCATAAAAAACCCTAAAAAATCATTAAAATGCATAAAAAAAATACTGAGAGATCACAAAACTTCTTTTTGAATTTTTTATCAAAAAATCGTGACTTTTAGGTCAAAATCGCTGAAAAAAAAATTTACAAAAAAAAAATTGATTTTTTTTTTCAGCAAAATTGTAAAAAATGATGCGATTTTTTGATTAAAAAAAATTCAATTTTTTTTTTTTTTTGTGATGTCTTGGTATTTTTTTATGTATTTTTATGATTTTTAAGGTTTTTAGTTTTCCAAATAAACCTTCCCTATATATATATATATATATATATATATATATATATATATATATATATACTACAATAAAATTCTAATTGATTTTTACGCAACTTACCAACTTTGAAATAGTGTAACTTTTTAGGCAACTTATCAATTTTGAAGTAGTGCAACTTTTTGTTATGGCAGGTATCACATTTATTATTCTTTTAAATCAGATATTCTTAACCCTAAACATGGATACTTGCCATTTACAAAACTCGATACTTCCACAAATTTGTACATAACTTTCAAATGGCTTATAAGCTACTACTTTTTTAAGTAGCTATTTGAAATAGCTTATAAACTAAAAATTAGCTTATTATTAACAACTTCCCATAGAGGTTGTATCCTTATTTTTGTTATTAAAAAAAAGTACTTGTTTTGTATGTAAAAAAAGAATGTGTTTATCCATAAAATAAGGAACCTCTCGATCACTTTTATTGCTAATTACATAGAGGAAACACTGAATTCTCAATAAAACTATAGTTTTCCTTTCACAGATAACATAAACAGAAACCATAAATGATTACAGGCAGCGACTTCAGGGAATGAAAATAAAAATACTTAAGAGCTCAAAAGATCCACAAATACAAACTCTAATTAAAAAAAAAAAAAAAAAAAAAAGTATTTTACTAAAATCCCAGCAGCTTCTTGCACTTCAATTTCAGAGATCAGTCATTTTCACCAGCTTATTGTAAAGAATACGGTCATCCCTCCCAGTGTTGCTCTCCAGCAGTGCACTTTGTACGAGTTCCTGAATTTTGGAAACATAATAATATTTTCAGATATTTATTTTTCACAATTACTACTAAATCATGGATTATTATATTATTTACAAATATTTTATTACCTTGATATCCCTGTGAGACATGAATTTTCCCATTGCATGTAGCATCAACCTTAAATCTTCAACCTGCAGAATGTGACCATTATTAATAACTCAACTTTAATAATGCTGTTTCTTTTTTTCACTTAATCTGGACAGAATTAAGACAATGGGAGAAAAAAAAAATAAGCATGATTTTACCCTAATGTAGCCCACTCGATTGCGGTCAAAAAACCTGAAAGCCTGTCATGAACAGGAGATATTTTTTTAAAATTTAAGAAAAGACTTCATAAAAATTCACAGGAATAACACATTTTAAAGATGAAATACCTGCAAAAGCTCTTTGTTAATGGTAACTGGAGCTTCTTTCTTCTTCTTTGTGTTTTCCTTTTTCTCCTCAGCCTGCAACTTTGTGTCTGGATTCACAGTTACTTTAGCAGCAGCAGCAGCATTGTCTTCTTCAGCTTTCACTTTTTCTTCTACATTTTCAGACTTCACATCCATGTCAACTTTTTTTTCATCCTCTCCTTTCTCCTATAAAAAGTAGTACCATAAAATATGAGACTTCACCAATTTAAAAAACAACGCAATAAAATTCACTTGCCTCGTTTTTGGGACTTGCATCTACCATTTCTTCATCATCTTCTTCAGGATCTTCTTCAGGGTCTTCTTCAGGATCATCTTCTGGATCTTCTTCTTTTTCTGATTCATCTTCTTCAGGTTTTGTGTTGTCCACATCATCAACCACCATTTTTTCATCTTTAACCACAGTTTTTTCATCACCTACTTCTTGCAATGTTTCAGTTTTATCTGATTTGCTTTCAGCCTTAACATCTTCGGTTTTCAAGCGCTTAGGAGATGATTTCTTAGTTTTATCTTTTTCCTTTTTGTCAGAAGCTTCTTCCCTCTGTCTCTTCTTTTGGTTCCTTTTAGCCACAAACTTGATTCGCAATTTCTACAATTAAAAAAAAAAAAAAAAAAAAAAGATTAAAAACACAGTAAACGAATAAACTAAGTGTAATTAAAATGAAATCTTATGAACAGATACTAACCTGGAGAAATGTTAATATCCGAGAACCCATTTGATATTGAAGCATTTCATAAAATGTTTCAGCAAATAAAGATAGCTGACAACATGAATCAAGGTTTAACAATAATCTGACAATAATAATAATAGAGTAATTAAGAAATGACAACATAACATTATCATATTACATACCTCGACTGTAGATTCTTCAATATCTTTATCAGTGTAATCCAAGAGTGAGTCTAGTGAAAGTGACATTGAACGCAACTGTTGAAAAGAATTCAACAATTAAATAAATGATTTTGTGATATGAAAGATAATTTAAATATAAGAATTAATATGAGTTGGAATCAAAAACACATACTTTTGAATTCTTATTCCCTTTTGTTTGAAGAATGAACCCTGGATGACGTGGAGGCTCTTCAGTTTTTTTCTTATCTTTTACCTCTTTACTCTTTGATTCAGTTTTACCATCTTTATCTTTTTTCTTATCTTTCACCTCAGACTTATCATCATTTTCAGTCTTCGCTTTAATTACAGAACTGCCCTCCGTTTTACCTTTCTTCTCTTCCTTTACTTGTTTCTTTCCAGATTCATTTGAAACACCGGAATCCTTTTGCTGCTCGGTGACAGGTGGCACCACCTCAGCAACCGGTTCACTGTTCTTTGACTTTATTTCATTTCCCTCATCGCCCTCAGCAATAGTTGTCCCTTCTTCAGTTTCTTTAGCCACTTTATCCTTAACAGCTATCTTTCTCTTAGTAACCCTTTTAATAATCTTTTTTTTAACAACAGTTTTAACACTTGCACCAGCCACGTCAGCAGTTTTTGTCTTTTCCTCAGAACCTTCTGGTTCCTTAACTGGGGTCACCTCAGATTGTGTGCTTTCATCTTCTTTTTTAACGGATTTCACCACTGGGGTCTTTTTGGTAATTTTCTTTTTGGTCTTAACAGTTGAAGGATTAGGAGTAACAGATGGCTCAGCCTCTTCAACAATAACATCTGTGTTTGTGGTAGTAGTTTCTTCACTGTTCTTTGTATCCGTTGTATCAGTTTGTTTGGGGGCGTTTCCGTCCTTTTCAGCTACAACCTTCTTTTTAATTACTTTTCTTATTATCTTCTTCTTCCCACTACCAGGTGTCTGAACACCAGTAGCCTTTTCTGTTTGAATCTTTGTTGCAGAAGTATTATTGCCTTCATCAAGTGTCTCAACAACATCTTTCTTTTCTGTTTTTTCTGTCTTTTCTGTTACTGCATCTGTTTTCTCCTCTTCTTTTTCGACTTCTTTTGCTTTAACTTTTGTGACAGTTTTTCCTGTTCCATTAGTTTTTGAAGCTGATCCAGAAGTTCCAGACTCTTTCTTTTTTCCAACTTTTTCATCTTTTTTCAAATCTTTTGGCTTCCCAGAATCCTTATCTTTCTGGCCTTCCTTCTTTTCACGTGATTTCTACAAAAAGAAACAGAAGATGATTTCAATCTTATGCTTGTAGTAGCCAGTAGGGGTAAAGTAGGAAACAATATACCTCTCTTTTAAGAGCATGCAGGCGTTCTCTTTCAGCAACTGCCTTTTTGTGGGCAAGCCACTGTTCTTTCCATGCATCTATTGAAGGTAAGCAGTTTGATAAATCAGGAACATAGAGTACAGTGACTTCCTTATGGCTAAAAAGTCCATCACTTCCAATTCTGTCATAGTGAATCTGCAAATGGCAACAAATTACTTTTAAAAAAAATTCATTATAAAAGTAAGTTTATACACACAACTAATAAGCAAAAGAATTACCTCAAGAAATGGGTTCCAATTTTGGCACTTCTTCAAGTCAAGTCCTGTGAGCTCCTTGGCATACCTATAGATTGTAATTTAAATAATATAAGAAAGATAAGACATTTCTGATTAGAATAAAATTGATCATACAAGAATGAACCTTGAAACAGTTTGAACTAGGGTAGATTTATCTACAGAAGGATCGTTGCCATCAACAGTGTCCCATGAGCCTCCAATTGCCATGAATGAACTTCCATCTTTGAGGAAAGCAAACCTCAGCATATTGCAAAGATGGGGAATACGATCCTCATAGTTTCTTTCAGATGATAGCTCCTCCAAAGCATTATTGCTAAGCCCACTCATTAATATCATCTGATATTAGGATACACAAAGGACAAGTATGTAAATAATTAGTTATACACTCGTTAGTTTCACTGTTGTTAGTGAGTTAGTTAAGTGGTTGGAAAGTTAGTTAATATCTCTACCTTGGCATTCCACCGAGTAGTTCCACTTTCCAGTTTTCCAATACCATCAGCCACTGTTTTGGTGGCTTTTTCATGCTCAGTTATCGTGTCCTCTTGCACAAAATCATGCTCAAAACTGTTCAATGGCATCAAATTTGTTGATATTATTGAGGTGATAAACAAAAAAATAGAAACAAAACAAAATAAGAGTAAACATACCTGATAGGGGTATTGAAAGGAATACGAAGTTCCTCCCTTGACCAATTAACAACCACCTGAAACAGTTTTCACCCAAATGAATGATGACAATAATGAAGAATGAAGGAGATACTGATTTGTGTAAAGACAATGTACCTTAGTACATTCTGGGGAAATAAAAAGCCTAGGATACCGTTTATCCATGGACAAATAATCCCTCTCAGTGTCTACCAAATTGGATGAATAAACCTGCAAATATACCGATTCAGATCATTGAAAATGCATGACAAGAAACAGGCATTCAAGTGTAATGAACAATTAGAAGCATCGAGAAACTATCCAAGAACAAAATGTCTTGGAATCTTTAAAGCTTAAGTCTTTATTTTACGAAGAGAATGAGCTCAAAGATGAAATACAAAACAACTCTACAGCCATCTTCATCAACTGGAACAACAACCACCTTATATCGCCCAAAAACACCATCAATGGAAATCACATAGAAGGGGCAAATGAAGGGCCAATCAGATAATCCCAGAATTTACACCATAGCATAGAGCAAAAAGACAATGGAAGCGAGGACAAATAGCAAACAAACAGAGGGATGACAATGAAGGGAAAGTCAACAGAGAGAATTGGAGGACAGGATCACAGGATAAGGATAGTCAATATATAGAAGCTTCCAGAAGGCAGGTCCTCTGAAAGGAGAAAGGAAGAGGTGTATATTGAACGACAAAGGTCATATGTGTCTTTTTACCTTGCAGACATATTCTCTTCGTTTTTCTTTGACAGGTGAATGGCGCCTTCAGTTCAGCATGACATATGACAGAACATCAAGTTAGTTATGAAGGCTCCAAGATACACTAACACAGAGCTATACACAAAAGTAAGCAACAAATTCCACCTATGCGAAGAAGCTGGTGATTCCCGCCTTAAAGTCCTCCCAGCCTTGACCGATGTTGACCCACCTCGGTCCCTAGAGATTCTCGGTGGGGTCCGCTCCCTTCTTACTTCAAGACCACGTTTCCTTTCCTTCTCCCGTCTTTCCAACATTATTTCCCTTTCCCTCCTTCTCTCTCTTTCCCTTTCCCTTTCCCTTTCCCGTTCCCTTTCCCGCTCTCTTTCCCTTTCCCTTTCCCGTTCCCGTTGGCGTTCCCGTTCCCGCTCACGTTCGCGTAAAATCTCCCTGCGGCGGTCTTCGTCTCGTCGTTCGATTTCCCGGTCCAGCCTGGCATAGCCATCGCGTGCCAGCATGTCACTTGGATAGTCTGAGTCATGAAGAGACTTTCCGGAAGCATATGCCCTGCCAGGTGGCAGGCTAACACCATATCCAGGATTTGCATAGACGAGATCTTCCACATCTCTCCGTGGGGCAGCTCCTAGAATCGAGGGTGTGCCACTGATCATTGACATGGCATGAAGATCAGCATCCATTCTTCCTCCATATGGCAGAAGTTCTTGGCCTCCATGGCGAACAGTAGCTGCTCTTGCTAGATAATCAGCTTGTCTGTCATAAATGTTTTGCTACTTATGAAGATTATGGATAGTTAATTAATATATATATATATATATACATAGACTATCTATCTATTGTATTTGTATCCTTGTGGATGGGAAGATGTAAAGAATGGTCAAAACATATTTTGAAGAATAACATAAGGAATGGAATAAAAAGTCAAAAAGTCAAAGACATGTAAAGTAATATACCTAGAACTCCCATCTACAGAAGCTGACTGGAGTGACTGAGCATGGAGCAGTTCTTGGCGTAGTGCTGATGCTGCATCTAAACGATCATAAATGTCCGGCTGTACACAAAATGTTACACATCAGAAAAACTGATTGGAGAAATTTGATGTGAAAAGATTAAATTCATGCACCCAAAACCTGATGTTGATGACCAAAAGCAATGGAATCAGCAAACCGAACAGATGACTCATTTTGCAACTCTCTCCCAGAATATGCACTTGCTCTTTCAGTATATGGGAGTCTATCTCTATCCCCTGATGGATAATCAGTTAGCATCTTTTCCCCTTTCTGCCCATACTTTTGGGTAGCTGCAGGGTAGTCTCCAGATGTGAATTTTGGTGAGTCTTGCATGGTTGAACCATAGCCACTTCGACCTTCCAAAATAGAAGGTCCGGCTCCTTTGCTACTTGTAGGTGGAACCTGGAAAGATGACATGATAATTAACAAACTCTTTAACTTTCATACTCAATCACAAGATGCTCATAACAGATTATACAGTTTACTAACCTGCAGAGCACTGTTGAGTGCAGTTGAACCATACACAGAAGTATATTGACCACCATAATGAGTTCCAGCAGATGGATGACCACCTAACAAGGTTGAATGACGTGAAGCAATGGGCATCTGAGAGGCAGCATCAGCTCCCAGCTTTATAGAATAAACAATGAGTCAGAAAGCATAAAAGGGTTGAAAATAATGGTAGTGGGTGTTTCACTAAAGATGTTACAACTGAAATAGTAATGACTTCTTCCATTGAAAAGATAATCGTTACAAAAGACTAATTATAAAACAGTACGAGTTCAGTTGTCAAAAAAACAAATTTTTTTTCTGACAGACATTGCTTTTTAGAGTTTTGTACTTCCTAAAGAAACTTTGTATGCTGAAATGAAATGGAATTTGAACTTATGAGCTGTCACATTCTACCTCATAAGTCTAAAGTGAATTTTTTCAGCAAAAAGGAGCACAATGTGGTATCCTAATACGCAATGAAATCAACCACAGAACAAAAATACTGGATATATAAATGTAAGAAGTTTGCCATGACAGCCATTTTCCTAAACAGAAAAAAAAAAAAAGGCTATTTTTTCTCCAATCACTCTCTCTATATAGGTTTCCAAATCCAAACTAATCACATGTATTTTAATTCAAATGTTACTTTCAAATTGACCACTTAAGGTATCAAGCCGGATTGGAAAGTTATGTTCTATTATTTCTTCTTGATTCATATGGCATATCGTTCAATTGTAACAACTACACTCACACATAAAGGAGTTAAAACAGCAAGCTTACATTTTGACTGTAGGCAGATTGACCAGTGTAGGACTGTGGCTTTGGCTGTTGCTGTTGCTGCCCATACGAACTATTCCCCCTGGAAGAATACATTCTTTTTCACGAGAGCTAGAAATCCAGACAACCTATAAAAATGTCGAAGATGTCAATAAAAAGGAACACATAACCCAATTCAATTTGTACAACAGACATTCAATTCACTGCTAAATAATTACTTTGGTTGCTACGGTATGTTCGTAGGGGAAAATAAAGGTATGTCCGGCAAACGTTTAAAATCGGATTGAAACAAAATCAGAATAGAGTTTAACCTCAGTTCGACTGATGAACCCTAAATTCCATGCTCCCAAGAAGTGCCTACGCTATCATAAAGATGTATGGTGGAATCTGACGTACCTGTAAAACCGATTACGGCGAAGGTTTTGGTCGTTGCCGATCGCCAGCCTAATTCACCAATCGAACAATGAAAGCCAATTTGAGGTGAGGCCTTCAGCCCTAGTTTCGTTTATACCATTACCAGCTCAAATTGAGCGACTTTACTCGGCCCTTTCAAACTTGGGCCCTGGTCAATGGTCATGAGTAAATTACGAGAAGGTCAGCTTAAAGCGGTGGTGTCGAGGTAGCTGCAAATGGATAGTTGGTAACAATAAGTTGTAGGTTTATTTGTTATATAAGTGTTTGGTATAAAATATATAAAGTTATATAAAAGGATAATTGATTAAAAACAAATAAATATATAAATATATTTTTAAAGGTAATTATGAAAATTGATTTCAAAAGTTCATAAGCGTTTTATTAAACGCTACATGAAGTAACTTTTAGATTTGGAGTATTTTGTTTAAACTAAAAGCTAAGCGTTTGTACTGTCAAACGAAGTTTTTTGTTTAAATTAGAGTGTTTTATCAAAAACGAAAAGCTATAAGTTTCTAAATGCTTTCAAAAGCTTCATACCAAACACGCCCATGTACTCAAATATTCTTTGTTTTGAAGTTTAATTACAATAAATTACACAATTTAGGTGGGGTGGCGTCGGCGAAGGTGATGACAGGCGATGGTGGTGGCGGCGACAATTGTGGCGATGGTGTTGATGGCGGCGACGGTGGTGGTGATGGTGATGGGGTAGTGGTGGTGGTGGTGATGGGGTAGTGTTGGTGGTGGTGATGATGGTGATGGTAGGTCAGTGATTGTGGTAGTGTTGTTGGGTGTGTGTGTGTGTGTGTGTTTGAGGGGTTGGTGTATGTGCTTGTGTGTGTGTGTGTTTGTAGGGGTTGTGTAACAGCCCGGATCCCCAGGTATCTTTACTTTCATATTTTTGGTATTCTGTGAGGGGACTCGGCGAGTTGGAGGTCGAACTCGCCGAGTCGGGTCGCGGTTTTGGACGGAGGTTCGCGTCCGGACTCGGCGAGTCCGCGCTGTTTAATGAAACCCTAATTTCCCGGTCCTAAGCCCTATTTAAAGGACCTTATGGCCTTCATTTGCGGGCACCTTGAGCCTTGAGTGCACCCAAACGGCTGAGAGACTTTGTGAGTGAGATAGAGGCTATTTGTTCATCATTTTGTGTGATTTTTGCAAGAAGGAAGGAGAAGATCAAGCTTGAAGAGTTGGGGAGCTTGGATCTGTTTCTATTTCATCAAGGGAACCTTCTTGATGTACCTTTCAGAGCTAAACTTCGTATTTTGGTTGATGTGTCAAATCTAGGGTTTCTTCTTGCCTTATTTGACTTGATTTGGAAGTATGAAAGGTCCCATGGAGGTATGGAACCTAGATCTGGACCTTAGTAGGTCCAGAAGGCCCCAAATGACAAGCTTTATGTCCATTCTTTTGAGTTGGAAGCTAGGGTTGCCATATTAGAGGTTATTTCTCCAAAATGAGCCTTGTATGCGTTGCATGGCGACCAAGACTGAGACTTTACGTGACAAATGAGCTCGGGAAGGCCAGATCTATGTGTGTATGGAACAGATCTGACTGCAAAAGCCAGTTTTAGCTGATGCATGGCATGGACTCGCCGAGTCTGAAGAACAGACTCGACGAGTCGCTTGAAGATTGTCCTTGTGACCACCCAGTGTGTACTCCTGCCGAGTTGTGGGTGACTCAGTGAGTCACGGAGAGTTAGAAAGGTTTTGACAGGTGGACCGAATCGAGTTGGGACTCCCCGAGTTGTCCTTGCGACTCGGCGAGTTGAGTCGCGGTGGCCCCGTGATTCATGCCCAGGTGGAACCCATCGAGTCAGGGAAGTACTCGACGAGTCAAAGGGAAAATCCTTGCGAGTTGGAGAAAACGCGTAGACTCGCCGAGTCACTATAGTGCACTCGCCGAGTCCGGTCAATTTGACCAAAGACTGTTGACCAAGTCGACCAGTGTTGACTTGATAAGAATGGTCAACCCTAGTGGTACAAGTAATAATTATAGATTCATGATGTTATAGGAGGATTACAGCTCGGGGGTTCGAGCACGAGTGATTTCCAAGGTTCACGAATTAGCGAGACATACGAGGTAAGTCTTCTCACTATACTGTACCCGGAAGGGTTTGACTGTGTGACCGGAAGGTCGAATATGATATGAGATGTATGCCTTATGTGTAATAAGTTATTCATTATATGTGCCATATATGATATGCTTGATATGGGCCGGAAGGCAATTATGTTATGGGCCGGAAGGCGTGGTAATATGGACCGTAAGGTTGACGTGGGTAGGACCGGAAGGTTTACCCAGGCGGGACGGAAGTCCCCTGAGACACATGGACCGGAAGGTCAGGGCCTGGAAAGGCGTATGTGCGTAGGTTGTATTTTGGGGAACTCACTAAGCATTTATGCTTATAGTTGTTGTGTTATGTGTTTCAGGTACTAGCGAGGACCGTGGGAAGGCGCCGGCGTGATCGTACACACACTCGGGGAAACCATTTTTTGATCTTTGTTATGTAATTGGTCGTGACTAAATTGTTACATTGGAACCTAAATTTTATTACTCGATGTTTTGATGATTGTAAAAATGAAAAAAATTGGTTTTGAAATTTATGACGTTACAGGTTGGTCTGTGCATGTGTGTGTGAGTGGTTGTTGGAGTTGGTGTGTGTGTTTGTAGGGGTTGGTGTGTGTGTGTGTGTGCGTTTTTGTAGGGGGTGTGGGTGAGGGTGTGTAACAGCCTGGAATTTCCAGGTATTTACTATTAGTGTATTTTTGGAGAATTGTGAGTGGACTCGGCGAGTTGGAGCTCAAACTCGCCGAGTAGGATCGCGATTTTGGACGCGGGTTCGCGTCTGGACTCAGTGAGTCCAAGAGTGGACTCAGTGAGTCCACGCTGTTTAATGAAACCCTAATTTCCAGGGTTTAAGACCTATTTAAAGGGGCTTATGGCCGTCATTTGCGGCCACCAACCCCTAGAGAGAAACCCTAAAGAGATTTGAGCATTCTGGGAGAGAAAAGAGGCCATTATTGACCTTTGAAGCTTGGTTTGGCAAGGCAAAGGAGATTCTAGCTAAGAGAAGGCAAGGAAAGTGGACATTCTTCGATTTTGGAGCTTAGAGCATCATCTTGGAGGTATATCTTGGCTTCCTTTTTCGGTTTTTATGATGAACATGGGGGTTTAGGGTTTATTGACCCCTTTGTTGGTTAGATTTGATGTCCATTTCGTCCCTATTCATGATAAGGCTTGAGATGAGATCCATAAAGGTCCAGAAGAGTTGTATTCCTTAAGCTTTATGAGGGTTCATGAGAGTATTGGCCTAGAGTTATGAGATATGGGGCTAAAACATCATTTATGAGCAAATAGTTGTTGTTTGAGCCCCAAGGTTTGGACTTTACGTGATTATCATGCTTGGGGAGGCCAGATCTATGAATGTATGGAACAGATCTAACCTCAGGATTGAGTTTGAGTTGATGCATGGCATGGACTCACTGAGTCTTAAGAGTAGACTCGGCAAGTAGCATGAAGATTTCCCAGCACCACTCAGCGAGTGGTCTTGCCGAGTTAAGGGATTGACTCAGTGAGTCAGGGAGAGTCAGAGTGGGTTGATAGGTGGACTGAGTCAAGCTGGAACTCGCCGAGTTGTTCTTGAGACTCGGCGAGTTGAGTCGTGGAGGCCCCACAACTCATGCCAGGTGGAACTCGTCGAGTTAGGAGAATACTCGTCGTGTCAAGTGAGGATCCCAGGGAAATCAGTGTATGCGTATAGACTCGCCGAGTCGCTATAGTGCACTCGTCGAGTCCGGTCAAAGTTGATCGTTGACCATTGACCAATGTTGACCTATGTTGACCTATGTTGACTTGTTAAGGGATAGTCAACCTTAATTGTGAAGTGTTATTTAGAGACGTATTGTGTTATAGGAGGACTATAGATCGAGAGATCGAGCACGAGTGATTTCAGGGATTTGCGAGCTATCGAGATACACGAGGTGAGTCTTCTCACTATACTTTACCTTGAGTAGGTAACTAGACTTATGTGATACAGTGCTTGTATGTTATATATGTGTTATGTGTTGCGCTGCATTATTCTATGTGATTTATGTTGTGCATGTTAACAGAGTTAGAACCTGAGGGTTCACAGAGTTTTGGTGCATGGACCCATAGAGTTATAGCCTCGAGTGGCTAATATGTATTATATGTGGTATTTTGGGGAACTCACTAAGCTTTGTGCTTACAGTGTTTGGTGTTATTTGTTTTAGGTACTAGTGACGACCGTGGAAAGGCGCCGGCTTGATCAGTACACACGCATGAGATTTTATGATTTTGAGATCTTGGGATTTTTGTATTACTTGGATTGAATTTCAAACATGGTTGTTTTATGAATATTAAGTGAATTATGTTTTTATAAAATTCGAAAAAAAATTGTCTTGAAATTTACGGTGTTACAGGGTGGGTGGGTGTTTGTGTGTGTGTGTGTGTTTGTGGGTGTGTGTGTTTGTGGGGTGGGGGTGGCCTTAGGAGAGGGTGTGGGTAAGTAGGGCTATGGTGGGTTGGAGGTGTTAATGTGGGGTAGGTAGAGGTGAATGGGATGGGAGTGGGTGTGAGTTTATATTTAAAACAAAAAAGAATTAGAAAAATATGGAAAACAATGATTATCAGTTTTCCAAAAATTTCCAACCTCTTTGTAATTTTAGAAAATGAAATTTTTTTCAGTTTCCGTGAAAACATTATAAAAATAGACGAACTAAACATGTTTTCAAAATTCTCATTTTTCTTGAAAAAATTTCCGGAAAACGACCCATTTTTCGCGTCTAAACGTCTACGACTCGCCGAGTTGTATGAACAACTCGTCGAGTCCATCTTCAAAGGTTGGAAAATTGCCTTTGGAATCGCCGAGTCTGTTCATACACTCATCAAGTCCCATGATTCTCAGGCCCTTTTCGCGTCTAAACATCTACGGGACTTCCCTCCCTAACAATTGGTCCATTCACAAAATAGATTTAGTGGTCATTACACCGTGACTCGCTGGGTCCCAATAACAACTCGGCAAGTCCATCATTGACCATTACTATACAGTCGATTTAAATGGGTCTTAACACATCAAAACCATTGATCTGTCCTCCCAATGTCCATTTTACACATAAAGTTCCAAACTTGGTACACATGCAATGGGTCTTTGGCCCAAAAAGCCATAAAAGATGGCCTCCAAGGTGCATGGGGTGTTCATGGCAGCAAA